TTGAAACTACAAAACTTTGCTAAAAGAAGTTAAATAGGACATTAATAAATGGAAAGCCTGGTTTCATGAATCGGAAAACTTAATATTGTGAAGATGTCAATACTACCCAGGTGGTCTACAGATTCAATGCAATCCCTATCAACATACCAAGGTTTTGTATTTTTTTTTGTTTTTTTATTTGAAAAAAATTTTTTTAAAAATCCATCCTAAAATTAATATGGAATCTCAAGGGACTCCAAATAGACAAAATAGTCCTAAAAAAGAACAAAGCTGGAGGTCTCATACTTCTTGATTTCAAAACTTACTACAAATCTACAGCAGTTAAAACAATGTGGTAGTGGCATAAAGACAAATATACAGGCCAACAGAATGGAATAGAGAGCCCAGAAATGAACTTTCACAAATATAGTCAAATAAGTTTTGACTAGAGTGGTAAAAACCATTTAATGGAGAATGAACCGTCTTTTCAAAAAATAGTGCTGTGAAAACTGAATGTCCACAGGCAAAAGAATGAAGTTGGACCCTTACCTTACATCATATATGACAATAATTCAAAATGGATTAAAGATCTAAAGACCTGAAACCATAAAACTCCTAGTAGAAAATATAGGGAGAAATCTTTTTGACATTGAATTTGGCAATGATTTATTGGATCTGATACCAAAAGTACAGGTAAAGAAGGAAAAGTTAGATAAATTGGACTTCACCAAAATTTCAAAAACTTTTGTGCACCAAAGGATGCTATCAACAGAGTGAAAAGGCAACCCATATATTGGGAGAAAATATTGGCAAATTATATATCTGATAAGGGATTAATATCCAGAATATATAAAGGACTCCGATAGCTCAACACCACCACCACCACCAAAACAACTTCCCCCAAATCAGCAAAATATTTGAATGGACATTTCTTTTTTTTTTTAAGATTTTATTTATTTATTTGACAGAGAGAGACACAGCGAGAGAGGGAACACAAGCAGGGGGAGTGGGAGAGGGAGAAGCAGGCTGCAGAGCAGGGAGCCTGATGTGGGACTCGATCCCAGGACCCTGGGATCATGACCTGAGCCGAAGGCAGTCGCTTAACCAACTGAGCCACCCAGGCGCCCTGGACATTTCTCCAAAGAAAATATACACATACAAATGGCTAGAAAGCATATGAAAAGATGTTCAACATCACTAATAATTAAGGAAATCAAAAGGACAATGAGAACTCATTCATGACCCATTGGGATGGCTATTATCAAAGAAAACAAAACAGAAAATAACGTGTTTCTGAGGATGTGAAGGCACTGGAACCCTTGTGCATTGTTGGTGGGACTGTAAAATGGTGCAGCTGCTGTGGAAACCAGCATCATGCTTCTTCAAAAAATTGAAGATAGAATTCCCATATGATCCAGCAATTCCACTGCTGGGTATATACCCAACCATAAGAACTGAAAGCAGGGATTCAAACAGATATTTGTGCACCAGTGTTCATTGAAACATTGTTCACACAATCACCAAAAGGTGGAAAAACCCCAAATGTTTATGGACAGATGAGTGGATAAACAAAATGTGCTATATACATACAGTGGAATATTATTCAGCCTTTAAAAGGAACAAAATTCTGATACATACCACAATATGGATAAATATGGATAAACTTTATCCATTGGGTTATATGGATCATGCCTATCTATTATGAAGACATTCTGCTAAGTGAAAAAGTCAGTCACAAAAGTACCAATAATATATGATTCTACTTAAATGAAGGACCTAGAATAGGCAAATTCATAGGCATAGAAAGTAGCACGGTAGTTGCCAAAGGCTGGGGAGACAGGGACATGGTGAGTTATTGATTCATGGATATAGTTGGGGAAGATAAAAAAGTTCTGGAGATAGGTGGTGGTAATGGCAATGTGAATGTACTTAATGTCACTGTACTTAATGTACTTAATGTCACTGAACAGTGCATTTAAAAATGGTAAATTTCATGTTATGTATTTTTTACCACAATAAAAAAGTTTTAAGAAGATAATCTATACAACAATATAACTGGTCACAAATAAATTACAGCATGCAGTAACCTCTCTGTCAGATGTCCACTGATTGCTCAGCATGTCCTATGTGGCATATGTGACTTTTAATTGTCTAATATACCAACCAACTGAGGGCATGAGTATAGAAATGTGTATCATATGTTAGTAAAATTTAATTTCTTCCTCATTTTTTAAAGAAAAAAATAAATGAAAATAGAGGCTCCACCATTGTCTTCATAGACTATGCCTTTTTAATGGGACTGCTTGTTTAAAGGAAGGGAAGGATCATATGGTAGAGAAACTCAAAATGGATGAAAGACCTAAATGTGAGACAGGAATCCACCAAAATCCTAGAGGAGAGCACAGGCAGCAACATCTTCGACCTCAGCTACAGCAACTTCTTCCTAGACACATCTCCAAAGGCAAGGGAAACAAAAGCAAAAATGAACTATTGGGACTTCATCAAGATAAAAGCTTTTGCACAGCAAAGGAAACAGTAGACAACCTCAAAAGGCAACCGACAGAATGGGAGAAGATACTTGCAAATGTCTTATCAGATAAAGGGCTGGTATCCAAAGTCTATAAAGAACTTATCAGGGGCGCCTGGGTGGCTCAGTTGTTAAGTGTCTGCCTTCGGCTCGGGTCATGATCCCAGAGTTCTGGGATCGAGCCCCACATTGGGCTCCCTGCTCAGCAGGAAGCCTGCTTCTTCCTCTCCCACTCCCCCTGCTTGTGTTCCCTCTCTTGCTATCTCTCTCTCTGTCAAATAAATAAATAAAATCTTAAAAAACAAAACAAAACAAAAAAGAAATGGGCAGAAGACTTGAACAGACATTTCTCCAAAGAAGACATACAAATGGCTAACAGACACATGAAAAAATGCTCAACATCACTTGGCATCAGGGAAATACAAATCAAAACCACAAGGAAATACCACCTCACACTGGTCAGAATGGCTAAAATTAACAAGTCAGGAAACAACAAATGTGGGTGAGGATGCAGAGAAAGGGGGACCCTATTACACTGTTGGTGGGAATGCAAGCTGGTACAGCCAGTCTGGAAAACCGTATGGAGGTTCCTCAAGAAGTTAAAAATAGAGATACCCTATGACGAAGCAATTGGCCTACTAGGTATTTACCCAAAGGATACAGATGTTGTGATTTGAAGGGGCACCTGCACCCCAATGTTTATAGCAGCAATGTCCACAATAGCCAAACTATGGAAAGAGCCAAGATGTCCATCAACAGATGAATGGATAAAGAAGATGTGCTATATATACATATATACAGTGGAATATACATATACACTATACACACATATATACAATGGAATATTACTCAGCCATCAAAAAGGATGCAATCTTACGATTTACAATGACGTGGATGGAACTAGAGGGTATTATGCCAAGCGAAATAAGTCAATTAGAGAAAGATAATTACCATATGGTTTCACTTATATGTGAAATTTAAGAAACAAAACAGAGGATCATAGGGAAAGGGAGGGAAAAATAAAATAAGACAAAATCACAGGGGGAGACAAACCATAAGAGACTCCTAACTGTATTAAAGAAACTGAGGGTTGCTGGAGGGGAGGTGGGGGGGGATGGGGTAACTGGATGATGGGCATTAAGGACGGCACGTGAGGTAATGAACCCTGGGTGTTATATGCAATGGATGAATAAGTGAACTCTACATCTGAAACTAAGATATACTATATGTTAACTAATTGAAGTAATAAGTTAAAAAAAGAAAGAAAAATAAATAAATAATGCAACTGTCAAAAAAAAAAATAAGGGAAGGAAAGAGAAGCTAAGAAAAACTGAGAAGCTACAGCGAGTGAAGTATGAGGGAACCTAAAAGGGTATGAGCCCAGGAAGCCAAGGAAAGAAGGAAAGCAGGAGTGGTTGGCTGTGTCCAATGCTGGACAAGCCAGTAAGAAAAGAGCAGAGACTCGGTCCCACAGCTGGCAACATGAAGGTCTTCAGAGACCTTGACAAGAGCAGTCTTGATGGACTGTTGTGGATGGAAACTGGATGGAGTGAGTTGAAGAGAGATTATGAAATGAAGAAGTGGAAACTAATTATAATCACTGCTTTCAAAATGTTTTGCTTTGGGGAAGAGTAATGAGAGGGGAATTTGAAAGGTATTACGGGGTCAAATAGATGTTTTGTTTTTGTTTCTTTCATGGCACAGATTACAGCCTGTTTGGATGCTGGCAGGAAAAGTCTCGAAGAGTTTGGGGAACTGTAGGAGCATAGTCCCTGAGAACAAGAAAGGGGATGGATCCAGAGCCCATGTGGAGGAGTTGGCCAGGGAGAGTGGTGGGGTGAGGTGTGTGCAGGTAAGGTAACGTTGGTAAAGGAAGGATGAGAAAGCTCTAGTCTGAGGAAGTAAGGTGAGGGGTGATGCGTTGTGCACAGAGAATTTGATGGGAAAGAAGGTATAAAATAGCCATTTTGGAGTTGAGAAAGGAAATACGCCAGGAATGTAAAACAGGACTCTGGGCAGTACTGAGTACCCTTTTAAGACTTATGGTCATAGATTTACTGTTTAGTAAATCTGAGACTGTTCAGTAGCGCAGTGCATTTTTCTCTCGCACTACTCACCTGCTCAGGAACAGGCCCCGAGCAGACTGGGGCTCTGCCTGAGCACAACAAAGGGAGAGGGAGGATGAAGTTAATGTGCTTTGCAAGGTGTGTGTTGGTGACCGGTAGTGAGAGAATGTTAGGGTTCAGACCAGGTTTGGTCAATGCTGATGACAAGGTCATCATCGTGATAGTGGGTGTCTGAAATGGGTTGAGGAAATGACCATTGGAGATGAGAAGCAAGGAATGAGAGGTCAAGGTACTAATACAGGCATACCTCATTTTATTGCAAATCATCACTTTACAGTGCTTTGCAGAAATTGCATTTTTTTTCCAAATTGAAGGTTTGTGGCAACTTTGCATCAAGCAAGTCTATTGGCACCATTTTTCCAACAGCATTTGCTCACTTCTTGTCTCTATGGCACATTTTGATAATTCTCACACGAGTTCCAACTTTCTCATTATTCTTATATCTGTTATGGTGATCTCTGATCATTAATTACAACTTGCTGAAAGCTAGTATTTTTCAAAAATAAATTACTTTTAAATTAAGGTATGAACATTTTTTTCAGACATAAAGCTATTGTACACTTAATAGACTACAGTATAGTGTATACATTAACTTTTATATGCTCTGGGAAACCAACAAATTCACTGGACTCACTTTACAGCCATATTCGCTTTATTGTGGTGCTCTGGGTATGCCTACATATGGCAATAAGGGTGTGTGACTTCTGCACAAAGTTTAGGAAACTCTAATCTCATTCTCTTCAGTCCCACCTTGGTCAGGAAGTGTGATTTTTCCCTTTGTGTCTCTATTTCCACACAAGATGACCTGGTGTGCCCCACCTTCGGATCAAGGGCACAATTCAACCCTGGGAACAGCAGGATGTCCCCAGTGGGTGGGAGCTTCCTTCCCACTTGAGGATAGCTCAGGAGTCCTGTCCACTCCACTTCCTGGTTCTCTCAACTAAGGGTCTTTCTTGCCCTTCCTGTTTCAAGAACTCTGCTCTCTCTAGGCTTCCCTCTTCTTGTGAGCCAGCCCTTTACCTGTTCTTTCTTTTTATTGGAGCCCCAACTTATTCAGCAAGCCCATGTCTGTATCCTTCTGTCCAATATTGCAGCTGAGCTTCTCCAAGTCTTTGTCTCTTCTTCACCATGTGCCAGGGGGAAAAAAACAGCTTTCAGTTTTCTAGAGAGGATACAAGACAGGAGAAATTCACAGAAGGCACATGGGAAATTAGAGATACACCCTGTCCCAGACTGATTATCCACGAGACTGTTGAAGTCATCAAAAAAATGAAGACAGGAGTAGAGGTGGAAGAGAAGACAGTGAGCCAGGTGTTAAAGTCATCAGGGCCTGAAGTGGGATGATCAGAACAGCAAGATGTCAGCGACACAGACCCTGGGATAGCAGGTGGAAAGTTTGATAAGAACTTTGAAAGAGGGTGGGAGAGAGAAGGCCTGGAAATGGCATTTGGGGAGTACGAAGGACTCTCTCCTCCTTCAGGTCCCAGGTACATGAGGCTTGAGGGAAAACCAGTCTCCACTCTAGTGGTGAAATGCTGTCCTCAGGGAGCAAGAGAGCTTTCCATTCTAGATGAAAGGTCTGTAAGGGTCAACATTCTATGTCTGTCACGTTCATCTTCACATCTCCAATACCTTGCACAGTGCAATGAGTATACAGTGTGTTGAATATGTGTTGAATAAATGGAAGGGCAGTTAACTGAATCTGATGTTTATAATTAAATCACGTGCCACCACTCTACCCTCTTCTGAGATACGTGGCAGTCTCCAGCTTCCTGCTCAGGGATATGCGACTGGCATGGAAAGCAAAGGATCCTCAGGGCATCTTGTGTTCCTGGAACCTAACAGAGCACTGAGAACAGTCCTTGATTGTGCCCTCTGCTTACCTCACCACTGGCAGCTACAGGAGAAGAGACTCACCCAAGTGTTCCCTGCCCTTCTGACCTATTTGGCTTTCCAGTGTTAGAGTTTTGGGGAATCTTAGGGGTCATCAAATAATAAACCTTTATTCCCCCATTTAGTTTAAAACCAATGAGGAATAGATGCTCAAATCAGACTGAAATATAAACATCAGCTTTATTCTTAGTAAGTTTAAAGATTGTAATCTGAGCTATGGCCATTATCAGGATACCTTAAGAGGTCCCCATCTCCACCAGATTATGCCAGCTCTAGGAAGTTTGGAGAAAGGAGAACAGGGAGCAAGTCTCCCAATATCAGGCTGCATCCAAAACGGGAGCCCAGAAAAAGCTGGACTACACGCACTCTGTCCCTTTAAATATAAATTGACCCTCAGTTTGGGGGCTAAGTGAATGAGGAGACAGAAAAAAACCTGAAAACTTCCTCCTATCTTTTTCTTTCCTGCTGAGTGGACATTTTCTCCCTTCTTGGAAATATGAAGAGGAGGATAGAAGGGCACCCCCGAACACATCCCAGCTTTTTATTCTCCTAATAGACTTGAGTATATGGTCAACCAGGGATGTGCTAGTCCCATGAAATAGCCGCCCCTTCCTCTTCCCCAATGCCAACTACTATTTCTTCATATATTTTCCTGAGAAGTTGAACATTTAAATTTTGTCCCCTAAAAGCTATAAAATGTCAGAACAGTAACTTTATTTAATTAATTGTGCTTCTACTAATTGAGCTATCTTCCCACCCCTTTCTGTCTTCCCAAACTCTTCCACCATGACCCCTGGACCTCATGGTATATCACCAGCAAACTCCGTTATATTCCCAACATCTGGCTGGTCAAAATGTGATTCATGGCACATTCTAAAACCAAAATATAACTAGCAGTGAAATTTCTGGGGCATTTAATAATTCTATATTTAAGTTTTTGAAGAACTGCCAAACTGTTTTCCAAAGTGGTTTATATCACTTTACCTTCCCACCAGCAACATATGAGAGTTCCAGTTTCTCTGTACCCTCATCAACACTTATTATTTTCTGTTCTTTAAATTATAGCTATCCTAGGGATGCCTGGGTGGGTCAGTTGGTTAAGCATCTGCCCTTGGCTCAGGTCATGATCCCAGGGTCCTGGGATAGAGCCCCACAACAGGCTCCCTGCTCAGCGGGGAGCCTGCTTCTCCCTCTCCCTCTGCTGCTCCCCCTGCTTGTGCTCTCTCTCTCTCTGTCAAATAAACAAATAAGTAAATCTTAAAAAAATAAATTATAGGTATCCTAGTGAGTTTAAAGTGATACCTCTTTGTGGTTCTCATTGCACCTCCCCAGTGATTAATGATGTTGAGCACCTTTTCATGTGCTTATTGGCTATTTGCATATCTTTGAAGAAATGTCTATTCAAATCCTTTGCCCATGTGTAATAGAGTTAATAATTGTCATTTAGTTACTGAGTTGTAAAAGTTCTTTAATAATTCGAGATCCTTTATATAATTTCCCTTATCTGATATATGATTTACAAATATTTTCTTCATTCTGTGGATTGTCTTTTCACTTTCTTGAGGATGCCCTTTGAACCACTTAAATTTTTAGTTATGATGAAGTACAATTTAGCTATTTTTTTCTTTTGTTGCTGTGCTTCCAGTGTCATATTTGAGAAACCATTGCCTACATTTCTATACACCAATAACATAGCAGCAGAAAAAGAAATCAAGGAATCGATCCCATTTGCAATTGCACCAAAACCAATAAGATACTTAGGAATAAATCTAACTAAAAAAGTAAAAGGTCTGTACTCTGAAAACTATAGAACATTCATGAAAGAAGTTGAAGAGGACACAAAGAAATAGAAAGCATTCCATGCTCATGGATTGAAAGAACAAACATTATTAAAATGTCTGTACTACCCAAAGCAATCTACACATTTAATGCAATCCCTATCAAAATACCACCAGCATTCTTTGCAGAGCTAGAACAAACAGTCCTACAATTTGTAGGGAACCCCAAGAGACCCTGAATAGCCAAAGCAGTTCTGGAAAAGAAAAACAAAACTGGAGGCACCACAATTCTGCATTTCAAGCTATATTACAAAGCTGTAGTGATCAAGACAGTATGGTACTGGCACAAAAACAGACACCTAGATTAATGGAACAGAATAGAGAATGCAGAAATGGACCCACAACGATATGGTCAACTAACCTTCAACAAAGCAGGAAAAAATATCCAATGGAAAAAAGACAATCTCTTCAACAAATGGTGTTGGGAAAATTGGACAGCCACATGCAGAAGAATTAAACTGGACCACTTTCTTACACCATACACAAAAATAAACTCAAAATGGATGAAAGACCTAAATGTGAGACAGGAAACCATCAAAATCCTAGAGGAGAACATAGGCAGAAACCTCTTTGACCTTGGCTGCAGCAACTTCTTACTAGACACATCACTAGAGGCAAGGGAAACAAAAAGCAAAAATGAACTATTGGGACTTCATCAAAATAAAAAGCTTCTGCATAGTGAAGGAAACAATCAACAAAACTAAAAGGCAGACTATAGAATTGGAGAAAATATTTGCAAATGACATATCTGATAAAGAGATGGTATCCACAATCTATAAAGAACTTATCAAATTCAACACCAAAAACCCAAATAATCCAGTTAAGAAATGGGCAGAAGACATGGACAGACATTTTTCCAAAGAAGACATCCAGATGGCAAACACACACATGAAAAGATGTTCAACACCACTCACCATCAGGGAAATACAAATCAAAACCACAATGAGATACCACCTTAACACCTGTCAGAATGGCTAAAATTAACAACAAACAACACAAGAAGCAACAGATGTTGGTGAGGCTGCAGAGAAAGAGGAACCCCCTTGCACTGTTGGTCGGAATGCAAACTGGTGCAGCCACTCTGGACAACAGTTTGGAGGTTCCTCAAAAAGTTACAAATAGAACTACGCTATGATCCCCAATTGCATGACTAAGTATTTACCCAAAGGATTCAAAAATACAAATTTGAAGGGGTATATGCACCCCCATGTTTATAGCAGCATTATCTACAATAGGCAAACTATGGAGACAGCCCAAATGTCCATCGACTGAGGAATGGATAGAGAAGATGTAGTGTGTGTTTTCAAGTCTATCCTGGAGCTGGAGAGAGAAGGAGGGGAACAGGTTAAGTTAAAATGAAACAAAACTCACTGTCTTTATGATGATTCAATGTTCTTTTTGAATAACACTCCTCAAATTGTTGCAAGCCTTTGGTTAATTTCCAGGGTTCTGGAAAGGTTTATTTTGACCATTTTTGCTAGTATTTTTGTTGCTTTTATGGAGGAGTGAATTTTCAGAGGACCTTCCTCTGCCATTCCTGAAGGGCTTTCTGGTTCCTAATATTATTTTACTTTATTTATTTTGAGATAAATGTATATTCACATATAGTTGTAGGGAATAATAAAAAAGATACCAATACATTCCACCCAGTTTCTCCCAATGGTAGCATCTTGCATAACCAGAGTACAGTATCTTATCCAGGAAGTTCATACTGCTGTAATCTACTGATCTTACTCAGATTTTAACATTTACATGTACTCATTTGTGTTCATGTATGTGTGTGTGTGTGTATTTAGTTCTGTGCAACTTTATCATATATGTAGATCTTTGTGACCACCATCATAGGTATGATATCTAGCAGTTCTACGCCAGAATCCCTCACGCTATCACTTTATCCACAGTCACATCAACCCCCTGCCTCCACAACCACCACTCCTAACACTTGGCAACTACTAATCTATTCTTCATGCCTATGATTTTGTCATTTCAAAAGTATCATAGAGTATGTCCCACAATGAAATATTATTCAGTAATAAAAAGAAGTAAAGTATTGACACATGCCACAACATGGATGAAACTTACAAACATGCAAATGAAAGAAGCCAACCACAAAGGACCACATTCTGGATGATTGCATTTATATGAAGTGTCCAAAGTTGACAAATCTAGAGACAGAAAGTGAATTAGTGCTTGATGAGGGCTGGGTGGGATGGCACGGGTGGAGGGAGAGTCGCTGGTGATGGCTAAAAGGCGCAGGGTTTCTTTTTTGGGATAATGAAAATGTTCTCAGAGTAAATGTGGTGATGGTTGTTCAACTCTGTGAATATATTGGAAACCACTGAATTGTACACTTTTAATGAGTGAATATGTGAATTATATATCAATAAAGCTGTGAAAAAAGAGAATGCTATGGGGGTGCCTGAGTGGCTCA